TAGACCAGGCCAGATATTGGCCTGCTTCTGCCTTCTGAATTATTTATTTATTGGTTTTTGAGGCAAGGCCTCACTAGCCCTGTATGTCCTGAAACTCAACAGTGTAGACCAGGCTGGGATTAATGGTGTGTGCCTACCCTGGCCTTTTTTTTTTTTTTTTTTTTTTTTTTTTTGGGACTGTGTGGGGTTTTTGTTTGTGTTTTTTTTTTTCAAGACAAGGTTTCTCTGTGTAACCCTGGCTGTCCTGGAACTTGCTCTGTAGACCAGGCCTACCTTTACCTTGGGATCTTTATGTCTTTTCATGTCTTTTCCTCCTGAGTACTGAGGTTGCAGGTTTGAGTCACCATACCCTACTATCTCAATATTTTTAATTTTAATTTTATTTTTTGTTTGACGCAGGGTTTCACTGCTTGCTAGCCCTGGCTGTGCCAGAACTCACTCTGCAGATCCTCCTGCCTCTGCCTCCCAGTGGTGGAATTAAAGGTGTGTGCTACCACCGAACCACTCAGTTAATCTTCTTAAAAACTTGCATTTATTTATTTTTGTGTAGACGTGCATGTGCAATGGTGGATGTATGGAGAGCAGAAGATAGACAACTTACAGGAGTTCGTTTTCTTCTATGTAGGCCCCTAGGATTAAATTCGGCCCTAGGATTAAATTCAGGTTGTTAAATTTCGTGGTAAGCACCATTTATTGCTGGGCCATTTCACTTGCCTGGACTTGGTTGGTCTTAAAATTGTAAAGAAATAAGAATCTTGGGTTCTATAATTCCAGAGTTTTACATATCTTTGTCAGTGGCCAGAAACTCATAATTCTATGAAGCATGCAACAGTTTATATATTTTCGAGGCCGGCTTTCTCTGGCTTTGGAGCCTGTCCTGGAACTAGCTCTTATAGACCAGGCTGGCCCCGAACTCAGAGAGATCCACCTATCTCTGCCTCCCAAGTGCTGGGATTAAAGGTGTGGGCCACCACTGCCCAGGTCATACAACATATTATTGAGTATGAATAATTCCTGCAAAGTCACTCTGAAATTCATATCTAATGTTGTTTGATTTTTTTTTCCACTCCATTGTTGATAGTGCTGCCCCCAGAGAGACTCAGGAAAAATGATTTTCATCATGATCACAGAGGTATTTAAAATAGCTATGTCTCTTCAGCATTCTTTGAATGCTCTTATTTGAAATACTGCAGTATGTCAGTCCGTGGGGATAAAATATGGAGGGAGGTACAGAGCAGAGTGGTGGGAAATAGATAAAATACAAAGAAAGTTTAGTTCATGGTGAAAATGATATTTGAAAGGAGTGGAGGCAGTAGATAAGTCAGCAGGCAATTTGATAGTCAATGAACTGTTTGGGGAAAAAAAAACAAATTAGAACATATTCAAGGCCCTAGGTTTAATCACTAGCGTTAGAAAAACAAAGCAACTCAAAAAAGTTGGAATTGGGGAATTAGTCCTGCTAACTTGAAGTTTACACACTCATGCTTTTTCAAGCAACCCTAACTAAATACAGTGCCCCCAAAAGATGTGGAAGTAGGAGAGGAAAGGAAGGGGTTCTGTGTGAGGAGGACGGAGATGAGAGGATAATGGAGGGGAATGTGGTCTAAGTGCATTACATTTCTGTGTATGAAGTTGTCAAAAAAGTTGTAATTCTTACTTGATTCACTCCTTATACCAAAATAAGTTTCACACAGATATTAAGAAACAAACAACAAAAACCCTAAAACTTTAAGAAAATGGGTATGGTGTAATTCCTAGCACTGGAAAGGCTATGTTGATGGGAAGCTTGTTAAAGTAGTTGAAGCCAGTCTGACTTACACAGGGAGTTCCGGCCAGCCTGGAACTTGTGTGAGACCTTGACTTAAAAGAAAAATTTAAAGATAGGTGAATTTTGCATTTTATATTATAATAGGCTATTTTCCTAAAAATACAAAAACTTTTAAAATCAATAATTTGGGGAATTTTGTTTTGGAGAATTTTAACTCTGTAGCCCAGGTTAGACCTAAGAGTCTCATTATGTAGTCTATAGCCATAGAATTGAGTGGAATATAAACTGAGCTTTTTAGAGGAAAGTTCAGCAGTTCCAGTATTTTAAATACCCATACCTCTACCCAATTTTTGGTACAGGATCTCACTATGTAGAGCTGGATGGCCCGGAACTCTCAGGCTTCAACACAGATGTCTACCTGCCTTTGCCTCCTTATTTCTACTATTAATGATCAGGGCCACCATACCCCATTTTAAATATTCACAATCTTCTTCAGCAATTCCACTACTAGTACTTTTTCTTTAACTCAAAAAGCTATTTTATCTCGTTTCTTTTTTTACTTTTAAAAATTTGTATTTATGCTGGGCTGTGATGGTGCACGCCTTTAATCCCAGCACTTGGGAGGCAGAATCAGGTGGATCTCTGTGAGTTTGAGGCCAGCCTGGTCTATAGAGCAAGTTCCAGGGGTCAGCCTCCAAAAAGCTACAGAGAAACCCTGGGTTTTTTTTTTTTTTTTTTTTTGTGTGTGTGTGTGTGTGTTTGTATTTTTGGGACAAGGTCTCACTGGCTGGCCTGGAACTCACTCTATAGGCTACACTGACCTCAAACTTAGAGAAATCTGCCTGCTTCTGCCTGAGTGCTGGGATAGGTTCAACTTGTTCTATTTTTTGCGATGGTCTCTATAGCCTGGCTATCTTGGAATTTAATACTTAGATTACACTGACCTCAAACTGAGTTCTTGCTCAGTTTCCTGAGTGCTAAGATGAAAGGTGTGTGCTACCACACCAGGCATACCTCCAGCATTTGATGAGGATTGAGGATCTGGGTTTCTGAAGTGAGAAGTGCAAAGATTCACCTGGAGAAAATTGAGTACTCAGTAGAATCTAGTAGGCAAAGATTCTCAGGGATAGAGAGATGGTTCAGTGGCTAAGGGCGCTTGCTACTTTTTCAGAGTTACAACCCCAGAATTGGGTAGCTCATAACCACTTTAACTCCAGCCCCAGGGAATCCAACCTGCTCTTTTGGTGGTAAACTGTGCCATAGGCAAACAGTGACATAAATAAAAATTTAAAAACCTTGAAAGTAACCTTTCAAACCTTGAGGTTTTGTGATGAAGATTAGAAGATCATAAATAAAAAGGGGATCACTTTTATTTTTCTTTTTAGACTTTAAAATTTTTTAATCACTTTTTAAAAAAAAGTTTTAAATCCAAAAAAAAAAGTATTAAGTTTTTTTTTTTTTTTTTTTTTTTCATTCCATAGCTAAAGGCTGGCCTGGAACTTGTGACAATATTCTTTCTCCATAACTAAAAATGACCTGGAATTCTCTGATGGCTATGACTGGGCTGGAACTTGTGACAGTCTCCTCCTTAAGCCTCCCAAGTGTTGAGGCTATATACATGAGCCACCTGATTTTAGAACCACTCCTTGATATTGATGCATCAGTTATTCTGACTTTGTAGTGACCAAAAGTAAACACATAATACTTCCTAATTATGTTGCTTCCCGTTTAGGGTAGCAGATTGATACGTATATAAGCATTTACAGTGAATTGTGGTAAGAAAATGTGATGGGCAGAAGTGGTAGTACCATAGGGGTAGAGAAGAGAGAGGACAGCCATTTTCTGGTTTACTTTTTACAGTAGTCCTATGAAAGAAACAGTTCTTTTATAACTACTGCTCAAGAGCCTGTCTTGTGAAAGTCTAGGTGAGCCGGCTTACAGCAGACTGTTATTAGCATAGTTGGAGAGGTCTGAATCAAGCTATTTCACCGTTCAGTTCTGAAATATCTCCATATTTCTGAAATTTGCACATCTTACATTTGATGACAGTTATATATACATATAGGGACTTGAGAAGGATGTTGTAGCAGTTAGAAGTGCCTGTTGCTCTTTAAAGGATCCCAAATTTGGTTGCCAGAACTCAGTGTTGGATGGCTCACAACCACCTGTAACTCTAGCTCTAGAGGGTTCTAATATCTCTGGTTACTACAGGCACTTGCAGTCACATATAGGCAGACAGACAGATACAATTAAAAAATCAAAATCTTTTTAAAAAGAAGTGCATATAGGGGCTGTGATCTAGCTCAGTTGGTATTTACCTTAGCATGCATGTAACTCTGGGTTCAGTCACCAGCATTACATAAACTTGAGCATGGCAGGCATACTACTGTAATCCCAATCCTCAAGAGGGAGGAGGCAGGAGGATAAAAACTTCAAGGTCTTGTTCTATATTACATGGGGTTTAATGCCACCTCAGTATCTAATGTAATAGATTATTATTTTGCTATTGAAGCCAACCTGGACACATGAAAGCTTTTTTTTGTTTTTGTTTGTTTGTTTGTTTGTTTGTTTGTTTTTTGAGGCAGAGGTTCTCAGTAAACTATGGAGCCAGTCCTGAAACTCACTCTGTAGACCAGGCTGGCCTCAAACTCAGAGATCCGCCTGCCTCTGCCTCCCAAGTGCTGGGATTAAAGGCGTGCGCCACCACCGCCCGGCACATAAGCTCTTAAAAGTATTTTATGCCCTTGCATTTCAGAAGTTGCTTGTTTTTAGCATTTATTGGAGAGTTTTGATATTATATGGCCTGTGTTATTGGTAGCCCTCACTTTATTTTTTTCTTTTCTTTTTTTTTTTTTGCCCTCCCACCCCCCAAAGATTAGGTTCAGGGTTTTTGTATTTATTTATTTTTGTTTTTTGAGACAGGGTTTCTCTGTAGCTTTGGAGCCTGTCCTGGAACTAGCTCTTGTAGACCAGGTTGGTCTCGAACTCACAGAGATCCGCCTGCCTCTGCCTCCCTAGCCCTCACTGTAAAAGCCTCTTTTTTTCCCCAGTTATATTCTTAACATGGATTCAAGCAGCAGCAGCAGTGGCAGCGGCAGCGGCAGTGGCAGTGGCAGCAGCAGCAGCGGCAGTGGCAGCAGCAGCAGCGGCAGTGGCAGCAGCAGCAGCAGCAGCAGCAGCAGCAGCAGCAGCAGTAGCAGTAGCGGCAGTAGCACCAGCGGCAGCAGCAACAGCAGCAGCAGTAGCAGCAGCGCCAGCAGCAGCAGCAAAACCTGTAAGTAGCCCGCTCTTTCCACAGTAATGCACATCGAGCATCTTTGTAGATGACTGAAATGAGGTTTGGGATACTTAGCTTGATTTGGTCCTAGTCTTGTTCTCTTTGGGATGTTGAAGTTTATTTCCCTGGTGTCAAGAGCAGATCTTCGTGTTTGTTTGTGTGTGTGTTTAATGTGTTGTTTACTCCTTTTTGGTTCCTGGGTCATCTTTTATTTCTTCTCAATCTTTCTTGGGGGTATAAATTCTTTTATTTTTTTCTATTTTCCTCCCCCTCTTCCTTTCTTTGACCTTCTTTCCATTGCTGGACAAAGAGCCCAAGGTGTAGTAGGCAAATGTTCTACCACTGACCTATGTCCCCAGTTTTGGGAAAATGTAAATTTCACTAGCTCTAATTTATAAATTGTTTTTCAGGAATAAAAGACATGAGCTATTAGGTTTTATCATGCTTCTTAATGCTTTTTCTTTCTTTGATTTATAGCTGTGACTAAATTGCCACAGAAAGAAGCCAGGTAAGGAGAATTGTTGAAACATGATCTATCTATCTATCTATCTATCTATCTATCTATCTATCTATCTATCAGAAGTATCCACTATTCTGGGTAAGAAAATTTAAGAGTAAACATTTCATTTTCTCTGAGAATAAACACTATATGGTACTTACAGAATCACGATGGTTGTTTGAGTTTATAACCAGTTTTAAAGTATCTGATTCTAGTCTTGGGCCATTTTTTAACTGTTTAGCTGTTTGTTGCTTTTATTTATTTATAGTTTTTAGCTTATTTAAGACTTGATCTCACTATGTAGCCCTGGTTTTCCTGAAACACTATGTAGACCAGGCTGGCTTTTAACTCATAGAGATCTGCCTTGCCTGCCTCTGCCTCCTGAGTGCTGGGATTAAAGACATGCACCACCACACATGGCTAGTTTTTGGCTTTTTGAGACAGGGTCTCACTATGTAGCCCTGGCTAACCTGGAACTTACTATGTAGATAAGGTTGACTTTGAACTTGTGGCCTCTGCTTCCTAAGTGCTAGGATTAAATGAATGCTCAGTTAGTTTGATTTTTAAAATGTCTTTGAACCATGATTTTTTAGTCTCCATCAGTCAAAAAGACGTTTTGTCTGTGATCTAGTCTGCATCTTGCCTCTAGGTGAATATGCTGAGTGTACTGAAATTATATTGATGCCCAATTCAAATAGCTCATCATATAAAAATCAAGGTTTTTAACCTAGCAGTTAGAGCTTTCAATGATCTGGCCCAGTAAGTTGTAGGAAAAGAAGTGAGTAAGGAATGCATAGAAATCGGGTGAGAACCAAAAGATGACCATGTGCTAGAAATTAAGAGAAGCCATTTAGTTTTTAGTTTTTTTTTTTTGAGACAGTCTATGTATCTCTGACTGTCCTATAATTCACTATGTAGACCAGACTGACATCAAACTGAGATCCACCTGTCTCTGCCTTTTGAATTCTGGGATTAAAGATGTGCCACCATGACCAGGAAAAAGACTCTAAAAAGAAAAAATACTTAGTTATCTTTATGTGTATAAGCATTTGCCTGTTGTTATGTATGTGTGCCTTGTACCCATGAAGGCAAGAGGAGGGTTGTTGGACCCTCTGGAACCAGAATTACAACCAGTTACAGGCTACCACGTGAGTGCCTGCTTCTGACTCCAGAGTGCTGGAATTGAAGGCATGTGCCACCACCCAGCCTCAAAGAAAGGTTCTTTAAGGTTATAGTAAATAGGATAGCAAAGGCCCATCAACTTGGCAGCTTAAAAGAGATCGCGTACAGCTGGGCGGTGGTGGCGCACGCCTTTAATCCCAGCACTCTGGGAATTCGAGGCCAGCCTGATCTACAAGAGCTAGTTCCGGGACGGGCACCAAAGCTACAGAGAAACCCTGTCTCGAAAAACTAAAAAAAAAAAAAGAGATCATGTACAGTAGAAATAGATTAGCCTTGGTATCTATAATGGATACAAAAAAATATAGTAACAGGTATTTGGAGTGCTTTTCATTCATCATAAAAATGTTTCATGTTCAGGAGATGGATCACTGGGTTAAGTAAGGTACTTGCCACAGAAGCCTGATGACTTGAGTTTGATCGTCAGAATCCATATAAAGGTGAAAGAGAAGTGACTTCACAAAGTTGTCCTGTAACCTCCAATTGTGTTCTGTGGTACATGCACACACCCACACACATTATATACTTCCCCTACAATGATGACTTTTTAAAAAGTATATCATACAGAGGGTTTGTGGCTATAATCAGAGCCCTTGGAAGGCTGAGGCAGAGTTTCTCTGAGTTCCAGTATTATATCTTGGGATAAAGAGTATGTGCTAGCTAATTTTATGTCAGCTTGACACAGGCTAGAATCATTTGAGAGGAGGGAACCTCAACTAAGAAAATGCCTCCATAAGATTGGGCAGCAGGCAAGCCTGTAGGACATTTCTTGGTGATTGATGTGGGAGGGCACAGCTCATTGTGGGTGGTGCCATCCCTGGGCTGTTGGTCCTATGTTCTATAAAAAAGGAGGCTGAGAAAAACCATGATGAGCAAGCCAGTAAGCAGCACTCCTCCATGTCCTCTGCATTAGCTCCTGCCTCCAGGACTCCAAACTCCTTTGACTTTTTGTCCTGACTTTTCGTTGATGTGGAAGTATAGACCAAATCAACCATTTCCTCCCCAAGTTGCTTTGGTTATGGTGTTTCGTCACAGCAATAAGACAGAAATTGGTGCCAGGATAGGGCATTGCTATGACAGACCTGACCATGTCATTTGGGGGTCGATTGTGAAAGTACTTTGGAACTTCGGGGCCAGAAAATTCATTGAGTGTTCAAAGCCTAGTGAAATGTTCTATGGGAACTTGAAAGATTAGTGTTGAGAGAAATGCAGATGATGGAGGTGTGGTTTTTGAAGTTCCAGAGGGAAGATTTGAAATCACTTAAAGACTCTCATTAGGGCTGTTAACGTATCTTGTGTTAAGAATCTGTGTGTGGAAGAATTGGTTGTGATTATCAAGATACCAAAACCACTAAAGTGAAAAAAAAACCTTTGCTTTGCTGGGATAATTGATGCTGGACAACTAGAGCTGAGAAATCAGCAGTGATTAAGAACACACCATCGCTGAGGTGAAATCTTGTGGGAAGTGTTTTCTCAGAATTAGCACACAGAAGTGGTACTCCAGAGGTGACCTAGGTTGTACCTTGTGTTGGCAGCAGAACCTGGTAGTGTATAAGAGTCACCCAGGTGGTACTGGTTTTGAAGTCATGAAGGTATCGTGGAGAGCAGCTGAGACTTGGCACTGTGTGGCAGGGCTGAAGTCCCTGAAGAGAGCCCAGCAGAGGCTATTGGTGAAACTACAGCGCAATTGTAGCAAGAGACCTCCGCATTTTGGAGATGCCAGTACCATAGGACAACTACCAAGAACAACAGTAGTGGAGTGCAGTCGTCCTGATCTTAGGAGACAATCTGTGTGGGCTGTAGTGGGTGGAGCCAGAAAAGTGGTCCTTTAGAGAAGCCCAGAAGATCGTGACTTGAACCCAGATATTGGACATTGAATTATTTACACAGTTGGAGTTTGGTTTTGCTTTATTCAGATTGTGACTGTGCCCTGGTTCTTCCCTCTTGAAGTAAGATAGTGCTTAGTTTTGATTTTTACAGAAGGCCACAGTTGAGAGACTTTGAACTTTCTAAAGAGATTTTGAAAATTTACAAAGACTTTGGATTTTAAGAGATTTGATATGTTAAAGATACTAAAATTTTTTTAAGTGTTTGGAATTTTAAATACTCCGGGACTTGTAAATTTTGTAATGTTTTATATTGTAATGTTTATTAATATGTGATCTTGTTGATGAACAAGAAAGGAAAGGTTTTATCTTACCAGTGATATCTTTGTGTCAAGTTGACAAGGGGTCAGTGAGAACCTTTGCTCTTTGGCTCTCTTACACAAATTCATCTCAGAGTTGAAGAATGATAAGCTCCCAATGAATTTTTCCCTGCCACCAAAACTATTTTGAGTACTTGCACTCTGACAAGACCCAGTTTACTTTTTGTAGCCGACAGACGCCTCCTTTGGGAAGTTTGTAAGAAAGGGGAAAGGTGTATAGAGTAATTGGAATAATTGAAAGGTTGTAGTTCCAATAAAGGGGAATAGCGTTAGTGTAGTAGGAAACAACCAAAACTTAACAAGTAATCCTGCTTATTGTAGAAAATATGGAAACTGCCCAGAAGGAAAGAATATTTATGCTCATATTTTTCTTTTGTTTTTTTCCACCTTATTACTTAGCTGTGTGGTGATTGACTCAGACTCTGACTCTCTCTATGAGGAAAAGAGATCTAAGATCTGTGAAATAAGCAGTGAAGGCAAGTATCATCTTTGCTTAGAGAAATAGCTGCTCTGAAGCCTTGTCACATGTGGCAGTTTTAGGATCTGACTCTGCACATTTTTAAGTTTATAATGACCTTGAGGCCAGTGCCGCCCTTTTTTCATTATGTGCTGGATGTCAGTATGGCTGGCTTCCTTCTTCTTTCTTTTCTTTTCTTTTTTTCTTTCTTTTTTTTTTTTTTGAGACAGGGTTTCTCTGTATAACAGTCCTGGCTGGCTTCAAACTCACAGAGATCCACCTGCCTCTGTCTCTCAAGTGCTGAGATTAAAGGCCTGAGCCACCACTGCCCAACTATGGCTGGGTTCCTCACCTTGATCTGTTTCCTAACACAGTTGCAACTCTTCTGCTGCCTTAGGGTTCTATTTGCCTAGACTCCACTCCTCCATCTTCCTCTCCTTCCATCCTTTATAGGTGGGTATGACAAGGAAGAGGAGAGGGTGAGAGGCATGGCTCAGTCCTCTTTCCAGCTTGGTGGAGACTGGAGCTGGGGGAGGTACCAACTACTATCTACTCTATACACTATTTGTATAAGGTAGAAATCACCAAAAGTCCAGCTACGTCATAGGACTAAATAAAGAAGTTTTTTAAGCTAGAGAACTTTAACTTGATATAAATGAGATACCACTTTATTGATGTAATTGCCCACATTTTGCTGTGAACCACAAGGCAGCAGGTTTGTGTTTAGGAACAACTGAGCAAATACTTCATGTTGTTTAGACAATGTGATTTTAAAGTGGGCATAGCATACATAATACTTTCATTGCTAATTTATCTGTCATTACTCTTAGTAAAACACAAAATACAGGGAAAACAATCTATAAGTATAATTTTTAACTGTGATTCAGAATGTCCAAACACTCAGTTTTTTTAATTTGTGCTCAATAACCTGCTGATGTCTGTATATACAGAGTGGGTTGGATAGAAGGAGTATATTTATAGATGTCTCTTGAATTTCAGATGAGTCTTCTGACGAGTCTTCTTCTGATGAGTCTTCTAACGTTAAGGGCTCCAGCGATCAGAAGTCTCAAGTAATTGTTATCGATGATGAAGATGACAGTCCCAATTTAAAGGGTTCTGAGCAGAAAAAAGATGTTTCTAGTGATGAGTGCCAAATGCCTGTTCTCGAAAAAGAAATTGATTGTGTTGTTCTTGGGGCTACTTCATCTGCTGATGTTTGTGAAATAGGGGCCCCTGGAAAAAGTTCCAAACAACCACCACTGGAGCCTGAGCCCGAACCCGAGCGGGAGCCTGAGCTTGAGCCTGAGCTAGAGCGGGATCCCGAGCGGGAGCCTGAGCCTGAGCCTGAGCCAGAGCAGGATCCTGAGCCTGAGCCTGAGCGGGATCCTGAGCCTGAGCCTGAGCCTGAGCCTGAACCCGAGCCCGAGCGGGAGCCAGAGCCAGAGGGGGATATCAAGCCAGAGGGGGCTCTCGAGCCAGAGGGGGATCTCGAGCCAGAGGGAGATCTCGAGCCAGAGGGAGATCTCAAGCCAGAGGGAGATCTCAAGCCAGAGCCAGAGGGGGATATCGAGCCAGAGGGGGATATCGAGCCAGAGCCAGAGGGAGATCTCGAGCCAGAGCCAGAGGGAGATCCCGAGCCGGAGCCCGAACCTGGGCCCGAGCCGGAGCCCGAGCCGGAGCCCGAGCTGGAGCCTGAGCCCGAGCTGGAGCCAGAGCTCCAGCAAAGTGTTACAGCCCAAGAATCCAAGGAGAGAAAGGCTGCCGCTCTGCTGGCGCAACAAAGGAGAAAGAAAAGAAAGAATAGATTTATATGCATGGCTCCACCTAAATCACGTAGGAAACGGCGTCGGGTAGTCTCACAGGATGTGCCCAGCCTGCCAAGTGCCTCTGCAGAGTCTAGTCCCCCTGATGAGCCCACATCATCAGACCAGCCTGCCAAATGCATGCCATTAAAGAAACGTAGAGGCAAAAGGGCACGTACACACGAGTAAAAAGGATCTTTCTGCAAATGGGGGTGGGGGCTCCCATGTCCATCTTATGCTCCAATATGTTAGCATTTACAGTTCAGTCCCCATGGAGTGCTTTTCCCCTGAATTCCTGTCCCTATGATATCTTGGGTCATCATCTTTGACATGCCCCCACTACTCGAATTGTCAAGTCCTCTATGCAGCGTTCCCAGTTTTGGAGTTTTTCTCGTGTTGTAACATGTTGCCAAATTTGTCCTCTTGGTAGTTTGTTTATAAGAGGACTCTTAATGATTTATTCTCTAGAGCCTTGTGAGTGGCATGTAACAAATGTTTAATAAATTTGTTAAATAAAATGAGTGAAGTCTCTGGCTGGAGTTACTGGTGCCGTGCGTGGGTTCTGGAAGAAGGCAAAAGGCAAGGTTAGACATGCAAATTAGGTGAAGGTGCTGCTGGGGATATATATGGGGTACACCATACAGGCATCATAGTTGCTTATGCAACCTAGCCTCTGTGAACTAGCTCTTGTAGACCAGGCTGGCCTCAAACTCAGAGATCCGCCTGCTTCTGCCTCCCGAGTGCTGGGATTAAAGGCGTGCACCACCACCGTCCAGTTTAGAAGAGCTCTTTTTGAGCTTCCCTTTCTGCTTGATGGTACTGATGTTCAGGGTACAATCAACTATTTATTTTTTTAACTGATAGTGGACCAAAAAATTGGGGCCTTACAGAAGAAACCCATTGCAGCAAAAGTTGAAAGTTGCAAAGACTGGATATGTGCACTGCTAAAGTACTCACTTGCATGGGATTTGATTCCAGTATCCAGGAGATACTAGAGACTCCAAGGGAATGAACAGGAGTCTGATTAGATGAAAGTTTCTGACCCTAAGTGGGCATGTACATACAGAGTGATGAGGTCATCTTCTGGTCCTGTGTGTTGTCATGGTATACCCCTCTACCCCCAGCCATCCAGCCAAAGGACCAGGCCTGTGTGCTCTACTTAAATTCTAGTAGTTACCTGGCAGAGTGTGCTTCCTTCATCCTCACAGCAGCTCTGGCCTCTAAAGTTTCATTTGTCCTTAAAATCAGGACAAAGATGGATATGTAGCCAAAATATGTATTAGGCTGGACACAGCCTGATGGTCATCAGTTTGTACTTAATAAGCCAATACAGTTGATGTGATGGCACATTAATACCAGCACTTGGCAGGCAGAGGCAGGACAATTAGGAGTTCCAGGCCACCCTCTACAAATCGAGTTCAAGGCCAGACTGAAGCTACCTGATATTCTTATCTCAAAAAGCTACGAAGAAAGTAATTACAGTGGAGAAAGAGCCTACTTTTTGATTTGAGTTCAAAGAGAAGGTAGTTAAAAATGACTTACAGGTTTCTCCATGAACACATTTCCCCTTTTGTGTGTATTCTTCGGTTTTGTTTTGTTAGACAGGATTGGGGTTAGAGTCCTTAGATTTGAACATGCTGTGAAGCACTGTGTCACTGAGCTGCATCAATGCTATCCTGTGAATTTTCAAAGCGTCCTTGACTCAGAAAAAAAGGTTAGGGTGAAGTAGATTATTTAGAGTTTTTTTTTTTGTTGTTGTTGTTTTTCTTCGAGACAGGGTTTTTTCTGTAGCTTTGGAGACTGTCCTGAAACTAGCTCTTGTAGACCAGGCTGGCCTCAACTCAGAGATGCCTCTGCCTCCTGAGTGCTGGGATTAAAGGCGTGCGCCACCACTGCCCAGCTTATTTGGAGTTCTTTAAGAGTCACAGGAAGCCCTTAAAAACAAGTGATTGTATGAGTCAAAGACATGTTAATACTTAAGCTAGAAGTTGTTACATTTTCTCATTTCGATTCTTAAAATCTCACTTTCCCCCTCAAAATATGATTTCAATTTTTATCTCCTGCTTTACTTCCATTCAGGGGTAATGCACACTTATATCTGAATTATCTTTTGTTTTTGTTTTTCAAGACAGGGTTTCTTTGTGTAGCTCTGGCTGTCCTGGAACTCACTCTGTGGGCCAGGCTGGCCTCAAACTCATAGGTCTGCCTGTCTCAGCCTCCTGAGTGCTGGGATTAAAGGTGTGCACCACCACTGCCTGGCTACAGCTGAATTATTTTTAAGAGAAGGAACGCAGATCTCTGAGTTCAAGGCCAGCCTGGTCTATAGAGAGTTCCAGGTCAGCCAGAGCCACACACAGAAACCCTGTCTTGGTGGAAAAGAAAAAAGAAAAAAGAGAGAAAGTATATTTGAAGAAGCATCTGTGTGTGTGTGTGTGTGTGTGTGTGTGTGTGTAAGCATTTTGATTTTTTGTGGGTTTTTTGTTTTGTGGTGCTTGGGGATGAACTGGCTACTTCAGCTTGGTGATACTCTTAAGCTTATATTTTGGGAGAAAAATTGTCTTCAGGGAGGGGAAGGGGAAAAGGTATGCCAGGCATTGGGTAGGGGAGGTCAGTTTAGATCTGAGAAAAAAGACTGTGTCCCTGTGCTTTTGGGTGGCTGAGATGATTGAGACAGTTTACCGTGTGCTCTTGGATCCCCTATCAACAAGGCTTCATCTCTGGATTCTATATGCTTTTCTTTTGCGGGGGAGGGGGGAGCATTTGAGACAGGGTTTCTCTGTAGTTTTGGAACTTGTCCTGTAACTGTAGACCAGGCTGATCTGGAACTCACAGAAGTCTGCCTGCCTCTGCTTCCCAAGTGCTGGGATTAAAGGCATGCATGCATCACCACACTCAGTTTCTATGTATGCGTTTAAGCTGCTTTGTCTGTAGGGATGCTTGTTTTGATAATAGCCAGGTTGCTTTGCTAGAGACTGACAGAAGAAAGGAGAAGCTGCCTCTTGGTGTCCTGTCACTACCCTATCTGAAGGTGATTAGCCTGTTTGAATTTTTACCACTATCTTACTGTACTCCATCTCTCTGAGAGCCTCCTGCACTGCTGCCCATAGCTCTTGTCTAGGCTGCTTGTTGTTAGTTTGAATGTGGGGTGCACAAACTTTGAGGAAAAGTTTGCTAATAAGTCTAAAGGCTAGCTTTCTCTGCGTAGACACGGAGGTCCCATTCTCTGCTGCATCTGACAGATGGTAGTGGTTGTCATCTGCCTTTGCTGATACATATCTAGTGTTAAAGCAAAAATGTGAGCTTGTGAAGCCAAACTCACTGTGTTGGCAGTTCATTTTTCTAGCTCTGTGGGCTTCTCTATCTGGTTGTGGTTTGTTCTAGCCATAATTTTTTAAAAGCCTCCTCCAGGTATAATGGCACATATGGTAAATACTAGCAATTGGAAGGAAAAGGCAGAATGATTCCCACGAGTTTGGGGCCAGCCTTGCCTATGTGACAAGAGCCTATCTCCTAAAAAAAAAGAAAAAAAAAACAAAAACCAAACCAAACCAAAACAAAACAAAACAAAACAAAAAAAACACTTCCAGAGGGAGGAAGGGTTGTAGACACCAGAGGGGTCAAGGACATCACAAGAAAACTCACAAAAACAACTTACCTGGGCTCATAGGGACTCACAGAATCTGAACTGACAACCAGGAAGCCTGTATGGGACTGACCTAGGTACTCTACATATATGTTACAGTTGTGTAGTATAGATGGAGTTTCCTGTCTCATAGCTGTTTCCCAAATAACTGATGCAGAGACTCAATATTAGTTGGAAACACTTGGCCAATAGCTCAGAGTTGTTACCAGCTAACTCTTAACATTTAAATTAACCTGTATTTCTTATCTCCGCTCTGCCACATGGCTTGGTACCTTTTCTCAGTATGGCATGCTCATGTTGTTTCTCTTTTTCTCTGCTGAAGACTCCAGGCTCTCCCCTTCTTCCTCCCAGCAGTCTCCTAGTCTGGCTCTCTAGCCCAATCTCTTTCTGCCCAGCTATTGGCCAGTCAGCTTCCTTATTAAATCAATCACAGTGACATATATTCACACAGTGTAAAGGCATATTCCACAGCAGTGTAGCTTGCTCTACTTCTGGGACTCCTAACAATGGGAGCAGGACCTGTCCCTAACACTTTGGCCAGCTCTTGGGAACCTGTTCTTCATACTTCATACAAGGGAAGGTGCTTAGTCTTACCTTACCTTGATATGCCATGATTTGTTGATACCCATGGGAGTCCTGCCCCTTTCTGAACATAAATAGAGGAGAAGTGGATTGGGGCAGAGGAGAAGAGGGAGGGGAAACTTCAGTCGCGATGTAAAATAAATTTTTAAAAAGCCAGGCGGTGGTGGCACATGCAGAGGCAGGTGGATCTCTGAGTTCGAGACCAGCCTGGTCTACAAGAGCTAGTTCCAGGACAGGCTCCAAAACTACAGAGAAACCCTGTCTCAAAAAACCAAAAAAAAAAAAAAAAAAAAAAGCTGGGCGGTGGTGGTGCACGCCTTTAATCCCAGCACCCAGCACTTGGGAGGCAGAAGCAGGCGGATCTCTGTGAGTTTGAGATCAGCCTGGTCTACAAGAGCTAGTTCCAGGACAGGCTCGAAAAACCAAAGAAAAAAAGAAAGAAAGAAAAAAACCCAAACAAACCAAACACTAAAAAGCAAATTTAAAAAACCCACTTCTATTTACATCAGTAGTAACTGAGCATTGGCCCAATCATGGTTTAATGGAAAGACTGAGGATTTGGGTCAGAAGATCCATTGTCTCTGACTTTTGGGTCAGACACCTGAGCTTTAGTATCCTCATTTGCAAGATAGAGATGGGAACAAACAATGATATGATGCAAAGAGAGGTTCTTTGCAAATACTAAAATGCCACTGGTGGTTCTCAGGAAAGGCAGAGATGGGTCACTCTGTATCACGGGAAAGAGTTGATGCCGCAGCACAATGGGAAATCACCATTCACTCCAGGGAATGTTTGAGCTGCCCACTTTGAGCAGAGTAGAAGTGGTAGCTGGAAACAGTGGCTAGAATCACATTGACTCAGGCCTTGAATACCAGGCCAGCTGGTCAAGGAAAAGCCAGAAGGAAACAAAATGAATCTGGAGGTGAGTGGGTACTGGGTTAGAATGAAAAGAGCCTGGTAGTTAGAGAGTGCTGTTGTATGAAGGGGAAGGCAGGTCTTGATGAGAGAGGTGAACCTGAGTTGCAAAGCAGATGCTGTCCGGGAGAGCCCACAGTCAGAAGATAGCAGTTCACATTCCAGTTGAACACAGGGTAAGGGAAAATGCATTCAAAATGCCTCCAAGGTTTTCTGTCAGTTGTGACAGAATTTTCATTATGGAGCCTGTTAGGCTAAAGATAGACTCATAAATCTGTTGGGAATTTACATTGAATAAATGAAAAATCAGAAACATCAGAGACTGAAGCTGTAGGTGTAGTTATCA